TCTTTAACTCTTAAAGCCTACTGATTTTTCATGGGTTCACTCAACTATTTCTTCTTCCCCCAGGCAGAATTGACTTTTTTTTCCATGGCTCCTATGATGGTTAATTTTAAGTGTCACTTTGACTGGACAGACAGACACTCAGGTAGCTGACAAAACATTATTTTTAGGTATGTTTGTGAATATGTTTAATATTTAAATCAGTAAACTCAGTAGAAAATACCTACCCTGGACAATAAGTGAGCCTCGTCCAATCCCTTGAGACCCCAGAAGAACAAAAAAAGAGGAAGGATGAATTTACTCTCTCTTCAATTGGAACATCTACGCTCTCCTGCCTCAGACATTGGACATGGAATCTCCTGGTTCTCAGGCCTTTGGCCTCCAGGGCTTACACCAGCACCCTGCCTGATTCGCAGGTCATCAGTCTCAGACTAAATTACAGCACTGGGTTTCCTAGTTCTCCACTGCAGATGGCATGCCTTGGGGCTTTGGGCTTCTATAATTATATGAGTCAGTTCCCATAAACAATCACCTCTCATACATCTATATGTACCTATTGGTTCTGTTTTTCTGAAGACCCTAATACAATCCCATAGCACTATTTTTTTTTTTTTTTTATTTCTTCTATAACATTTCAACAGCCTTTTGTTTTTCCGAGTCATTTGTGTAGGTGTCCAATTCTCTCATGAATGCCTCAAGGCCAGAAATTCAATACACTTTATTTTTGCCATTGCTGCAGAGAAGGCACACTGTAGCTAGTTCAATAAGTGGTTGTGGAAGGAATTGAGACTGATAGATCTATAAACCCACTTTCTATGGTACATACAGTCTATATTCCATATACCGTGCGGCTTGTTCCACAAGTGAGAGGAGGGTCTAAGCTTTTGAGCATAGAGATGGTTTTAGAAAATAATTACATTTAAAAAGCAAAATGGAGCCCTGTTGAGAATAAATTAAAGCCTTGTTTCTTATAGTTGTGAACATTTTATATCAAGACCCAACCTGAAAAAACTACTAGATTGTGCTTCAAAGCACTGTAAGTTCTAGCCCCAGGTCTATAATGTTGTCTAAGACATTTATCATCATTGAGTTCTCTGGACTCAGTGTTCTTATCTGAAAATTGAAGGAGTTAGATATAATCATTTTTAAAATGTTTTCCAAACCAAGATCCTAAAGTCTACTCTCAAGAATTAGCCAATGAAAGATAACAGACATTTCAGTCAGACAAGATAATCCACTGGAAAGTACTATTGATCAAGTAGTAGAAAGGGATGCATTTTAAATATTATGATCAATGCCCTAATTTTCAGTTTTTGCCACCAAAATGTATGAAAAAATAGCAGAACCGTCAGCATTATGATAAGACATTCAGTATTCACAAAGGGATAATTTCTACTATAAAGTGAGATTTTTAATATCCTTCTGGAAATATCACAAGACTATCCCCTAATGGGAAAGAAACATTCAATCTGCTCAAGGAGCAGTAGGTGCCACATTATCATTACTTTCACAAAGGAAGATGAAAGCAGTAAAATCAAACGCCAAAGACTTGAAAGAAATTGAACATAAACTTTAAAAAATATTAGTTATGCCACAGATATAGATGTACAAGGGTAAAAAGATCTGATTTAAAAAGAAATAAACTTTGAACTAAAAGTTTACTTTAAAAAATTAATGTCAAGTTTATATTTATATATTACAGTTACAGATAATACATAAGTTTGTGTATATATGCTATATATAAAATATATAAAGACACACACATATACATCCTAAAATTATTAAAGCAAAACTAATTTGTATTATCCACCTACTGTGACATAAACTACAAACAAAAAAGTTTCCTTTACTTCTCATAGGAACAGTCCCTATTTGCCTAACAACATGATTAATAATAAGTGGACAAAGAGAAATTAAGAAATGATCTGACCAAATTTTTATCATCTCTGATTCTTGAACTATAAGTATAGACATCTTCAGGTCACTAAAGCTTGTCTAATTGGCCCTCAAAATAACTTTAATATTGAAAACAATACCATATACCCAATTAAGTAACTTATTCATTTTAACTCACCATGTTTTCTGAACTTTATTCTGGAATTTTTGCATCTTTAGAAAGCATTGAAAATGTAGCCTTGCCATCAAAGATCTGTCAACAGGTGGGGCTGTTCTCTAATTTGCAACAAGAACATGATTTTACCAGAAGACTTGAAAATGCAGACTTCTTCATTCTGAAGTCTTCACAAAATTTTCTATGCAAATTGCAATTTCACATTTGGCAGAAACCAGCTGAAAAGAAAAGCATAGGGTCACCCTAAATTCTAATGCAAAAGCTATTCCAAATATCTTCCACATTCCACATTCAAGCAATCACCAATCCTCGTGTCTGCACCAATAATCTAATTTAAATCAGCCCTTCTACTCCAATTCTTTCATTACTGCTCTGGCTTAGATCCTCATCTCTCACCAGACCAGAACAATTGAGGCCCACTTCTCTCCTATACTGTATTTTTAATAATACCTGGCCATCAGCACTGCTGTGAGCATAATCTTTCCAACAATGGCTAAAAATGTAATTATTTCAGAATCCCACTCAAAAGTCATCAAAACAGTTTCATTATCTCAGAACAAAACCTAAACTCCTTTATATGGCATATAGAGGCTTTCAAAACCTGGCTGTACATTGCTCATCTGCCATCACTCAGCTACTTGCACTTTATACACAGCAGTAATGTCCTTTAACATTCAAAACATGATTTTTGTCATGCCACAATCTATTATGTATGTGTTATACCTCAGGATGAGAATATCCTCCTCTCCATGTTATTCTGCCTTGAAAACTTTCACCCATGCTTCAACTCAAATTGTTCCTCTTGTATGAAGTGTACTCCAGCAGATAATCGGGTGGGGGGAGCATGGTCCTTTTCTGCTTTTGTATTTGGGGAAATCATTATAAAAGCTAATTTTATTATGATTTTCCTATGTTTGTGTTTGTCTCCCCGGTAGAAGGTGAGCATCTAAAAGACAAGAATCAGAGTCCTGTCTTCATTACCTATATCCTCAGAGCATGGCAGAATGCCTGACAGGAAGTAGGTACCAGTAACTATTTTTAAAAGGAGTAAGAAAGAAAAAGAGGAAAGAGGGGGAAAAGATTAGAGAAAGTAGGGGTAGATGAAAGGTAGAAAGGAAAGAATTAATTCATTAGGAGAAAGTAGTGTCTAGACAAATTACTTTGTCTTCATCTCCTCACTATTCCCCGTTCGCTACTTGAAATATTTTTATAGTGATATCTGAAGTAAATAAATGCCAAGAATAATCTTAAAGTAAAAAGAAAAAGACCGGGCACAGTGGCTCATGGCTGTAATCCTAGCACTTTAGGAGGCCGAGGCAGGTGAATCCCCTGAGGTAAGGAGTTCGAGACTAGCTTGGCCAACGTGGTGAAACCCCATCTCTACTAAAAATATAAAAAATTAGCTGGGTGTGGTAATGCACACCTGTAGTCCCAGTTACTAGGGAGGCTTAGGCAAGAGAATCGCTTGAGCCCAGGAGGCGAAGGTTGCAGTGAGTGGAGATCGTGCCACTGCACTCCAACCTGGGCGACAGAGTGAGACTCCATCTCAAAGAAAGAAAACAAAAAGAAAAGAAAAGAAAAGAGAAAGGAAAGGAAGGGAAAGGAAAGGAAAAAAAGAAAAGAAAGAAAAGAAAAGAAAAGAAAAAAGAAAAGAAAAAGTCTGTCATTACAAAATGGCAACCAGTAGCCTGAAGGGCATGAGGTGACCTAGAGGAAACTCCTATGTCAGTTAATCACTCCAGACCTCCCCCACTGACTTGCTGGTTGGTATAAGATGCTCTCCTTTTTAATCGAGTCTCCACTTAGAAATACCTCTTCCTTTACCCTTAGTTCCAGTACCTTCTCATAGTGCCGACTCACTTATCCTCACCACCATTCTGACTGACATCCTTTCCCTGACATAGACACAGACACATCTTAGTGATGGTATGGAGGAAAGAAAAGCCCAAAGAGGGAAAAAAAAAAAAAAAAAAAAATCAATAAGAAGGAAAATCCAGAAAAGATTTGTGCTCATGGACAACATTAAGAATTGCTGGACATAGAAATAGAAAGTCTCATCTAACATGTTGGAGTTGGCTACATATTATTAAAGTGTGAATAACACAGGAAGAAAATTGATTATTTAAATGGAGGAAAAAGTATATGTACGTTGACATAATCATTCTATAAATCTTTATTGAATACCTAATGCTTTGCCTCTTTATGAAAATAAAAAGACAAGTGTCCGGGCATGGTGACTTACACCTGTAATCCCAGCACTCTTGGGAGGCTGAAGTGGATCGTTTGAGTCCATGAGTTCAAGACCAGCCAGAGCAACATGGCAAAACCTTGCCTCTACTAAAAAAAAAAAAAAAATTAAACCAGGTGTGGTGTTGCATGCCTGTAGCCCTGTAGTCCCAGCTACTTAGGGGCTGAGGTAGGAGGATCGCTTGAGCCTGGAGGGAGTCAAGGCTGCAGTGAGCTCTGATCATGCCGTTGCATTCCAGCCTGGGTGACAGAGGAAGACCTTGTCTCAAAAATAAAAACAAAAGTACGCGTAAGACATGGTTTAGTTTGTAATCCAGCTAAGTAAAATAATAAGACAAATAGCGCTGCCATGCAATGGCTGTTCACTCTGGGTCACTAACGTCATCGCTAGGAAAGCAATTGAAAACCTCACAGAATCTGTAAACATTGAAGTAGAGACAGGAGAAGGAATAAAAAGGCAGGAAAGGCTCCATGGAGCTATCTCAAGCAGGAATGTTCCCATTCTTTTTTTTTTTTTTTTTTGAGATGGAGTTTCTCTCTGTCCCCCAGGCTGGAGTGCAGTGGCGCGATCTCAGCTCACTGTAAGCTCCGCCTCCTGGGTTCACACCATTCTCCTGCCTCAGCTTCCTGAGTAGCTGGAACTACGGGGTTTCACTGTGTTAGCCAGGATGGTCTCGATCTCCTGACCTCGTGATCCACCCGCCTTGGCCTCCCAAAGTGCTGGGATTACAGGTGTGAGCCACCGCGCCCGGCCGGAATGTTCCCATTCTTAATCTCTGTGCTTCCTGATTTCACTTGACTTCCTTGTTATCTTTCCTAAAATTCTACGAATCAATTCACAACAAAATCATCATTCTTTAAAAACTCCAGTGATTTCTGAGAATGATAAGGAGCTGTTGCTTTTTGTTCACATATTAGTGAAATTTGTTGAATCCTATAACATTCTTCCTCTCAGACTGAAGTCATTGAGAGACAGGGACGATTTTATATAGCGAGAGTAGCTAATTTGAAGGTAATGAGAAAACACAGTATTGGAATAGAAGTAAGTTTTCTTTTGCCTTTTCCATATAAGTGGCCTTAAAAAAGCAAGGGTATATGGAATACCAGTGGGATATATGAGGAAGGGATACCAATGCTTTTTTTTTTTTTTTTCCAGAACAAAAAGAGAGGAAGTTCTTTTTCATTTCAGTTTCCTTTACTAGATGATATCCCATTCCTAAGATCCAGAATTGAAAATAGTGCTACACATTATCTACACTATGGACTAAACACTATTCTGTGGGTTAACTGGAAAACCTAAGCTCACTTTGGAACATTATTTCTGTGAAAGCTATCTTCTCTGACTTGGAAATTTCTTGCAACATAATTCTTTATGGTGTGAAGTTTTCTTCTAGATGAGGAGAGCAATTGTAAAAAGGATGTGATGGGACGATTCAAACTAGTGCCAAATGCATCATGTAGGTAGAGAAGCTATGAACTCATAGGATTAGGAGATTTTAAAAAATATGTGGACTCACACAAAGTTATTTGCCATTCACTCTAGTACTCAAGCTCATAGTGACTAGGCAGAATGGCAAGCCACTCATTTTGTTGCTTCAGCCGACTTGTTAAAACCAATGCATCACGGAACTACTGTTAGGTCAAGAAAATAAACGAACTGGCTGGTTGGCTTCCTGAAACTTGAAACTTTCAAAAGGAGAAGTTAAGGGCTTTCTTCGTATGTTTGATCCAAAAATAACAGGCAACCAACCTTTCAAAAGAGTCAGTGGTAAAAGGGAAAAGAGTGAGAGTGGATGCTGGGGGTGGAAGAATATTCTGAAGAATGACTGCCACATACCACCTCCCCCAGCTCCTCTAAAGGAAAAAAAGTTAGTTTGCTACCATTCCTGTTTCTCAGGATACCTCAGGGCAAAGAAACACAGGCCAGGGTGGGGAAATGGTCTGCATCTCCATGGTATGACTGTATAACACAGTTCCCAAGCCAATTTCTGTTTCCGCTGATAAGTTTTCCCACTTTCAGACCATGTCCTTAAAATGATTGGTGTTTATTCCTTTCGTCCTCCAGTTATTTTCCTTTTTCTTTTTTTTTTCACTGACTAGGATGGAAGTAAAAAGGCAGGACCTTGAGCAGTCACCTTGGATCCCGAAATGAAAGTGTTATGTAAGTGGTTAGCAGAACCCTTTGTGACCAGCCCTGAACAATTGATCTTTTGACTGTTACATGAGGGAAAAATCAACTTCTGCCTTTCTTAAGTCATTGTTTTTTATATTACTTTTTTTCTCTTTTTGCTACAGCAGCTTACACTGCATTCCAACACAGTAAAGTTGAAGGCAAATCACTTATAGCCACAGAGGTCATGGTATTTGTTTTTTTGTTTTTTGGTCAAAATGAAATGAGAAATTGTCAGAGTTTTGAATAGGGAAGACATTTAAGGGTAGGCATGAGTACACAGTTGGACTACAACTCAGAAATATAAACAAGAAACCCAAATTACTGAGTGATTTAAATATAGATATAGTATGTTGAAATCCTGCTGTGTGTTAGATCCCAAAAGAGATAGGTAGTATAAAAGATAAAAATGTGAAGGGCAATATACAGCAGGAGGAATTTTAATATGAATAGCAACTAGTGGAGGTTAATGAGCAAACATGACAAAAGAAACAGAGAAGTAGAGAAATAAAATGCTAATGAAACAACCATACTTGCCCTAATTTCTATAGCAGACATTCAGAATATTTCCCTTTGGGAAACTTACACTGTACTTATTTTTTTTATATCTGACTTTTATCCAACAATCAGATATAAGAAATATATCAAACCCAAACTGCTAACAATAAAAAAGGAAAAGTATTTTCAACACACATACACCCTTCAAAATCAGAAAGACACCTGCCAACATTAAGCCCTCATATCAGTGTATTAACTAGAAATATGAGAGCTCCAAGCCAGGATCTCAGTAAAGACCTCCAGATGCTTTGGTAAGTGTCAAATAGAATGTTAGGGCTCACTTTCTCTTCTCTTGCTCTAACTAATTGGTTTTCTGTCATCTTGTACATTTTCCTAACACCAGATCAGCACATAACATGAAAACATTTCCCCACAAGCTAAGCCATTTACCTTTTAGTAAGTGGATACTTATCAATCAGTGCCCTGAACGGGAACGAATGGCAAATTCAGACAAAGAACTTTAGTAAAGGATTCATTTACCAAAGTATGAGAAGGACCCAGCACAGTGGCTCACACCTGTAATCCCAGCTCTTTGGAGGCCAAGGCAAGTGGCTCGTTTGAGCGTAGGAATTTGAGACCAGCCTGAGCAACATAGTAAGCCCTTATCTGTAGCATAAAAAAAAAAGAAAGAAAAAGAAAAAGAAAAGAAAAAAAAAAAGAAAAAAGAAAAAAATTAGCCAGGCTTGGTGCCAGCTACTCAGGAGGTTGAGGCACAAGGATACCTTGAGCCCGGGAGATCAAAGCTGCAGTGAGCTATGATTGCACCACTTCACTTCAGCAGAGCAAGACCCTGGCTCAAAAATGAATAAAGTAATAAATAAAAATGAAAATGAAAAATAAAAAACATATGAGAAGGTTAAAGGAAATCAACAAGAAATGTTACAGCACCACGGGGTTAATAGCAGAAGAGAACAACTACTATCCCAAGCTTAATGAAAGAAGGGGAGTTAGCTATCTAAACTGGAGAGGTATACACCTTTTGGAGAGGCTCATGCAAAATAAACTAGAACTTTTGGCAAAGGCAGATAATTAAGGGAATAAATATATGGACTTCATTTTCCCCCTGTCTTTGATGCTCTACCAGTATCTCCCATTTACCAAATACAACCAAAAGGCAATGATCAGCCCCTTTCCCCCCAAACACATTGCAGGAGGTGAAGGGTAAAGAATGGATCTGGAGATGCAAATTGAAAAGATATGACTCTTCAGTACATAAAATATATGCCTCTTCAGAATATATTTAGAAAATATATAACCTCTTCAATTTGGTTATAGTGGAATGGGTACTATAAATAAATATGTTGTGTTATTTGAACTAATGACAAAGTAGAGTAAATTGAATCTATGAACAATATCTTAGCTTTTCCCTGGAATGAGATATTTATGGTTCTTGGTTTAATACCCAGTGACACTAAACTCTGCATAAAGATATAGGACATCTGGGCTTGTACGTTTCTGCCAGATGGTGTGGGATGCTCAAAGATCTGGATAGCTAATTTTACACAATAACTGCTTCTAATAGGAGTTTTATATTGAAACCTCTGACATTCTTTTACCAGCAGTTGTACTGCCAAGTCTGGCTACAATAAATGTACATGACTTAATGGCTAATTCTCCAGAAATATCACATTTTTTTCCTTCCTTCGAAATCTTTGTCCTGTTTGCAGCCCACATTTTAATTCCACAACATTTTATTCTTCTTTTGATTATTTTCTGCCCTTAGTTCCCATTAGCCTGGGTGTTTATATACTATTGTGCATTTATTCAGGTTATTTGAAGATAATTTTTGCCAAAAATAACAAAAGCACTGTTTCCTAAGTACTAAGGAAATTCCAATTGATCCTTCTGTACTTTCCTGGGGTCCTTTAGTATCCTTTAAACAATTGCTGCTGTCTCCTAAAAGAGTTGCTGTCAGTGCTATTTTCTTTGCTTTTAAACTTCATCACAATTTAAAGAGGTTTGAATGATCTTCCCTCTTTAAGCCAGAACATAGACTTGAGTGTCTTATACTGACTAATTTGCTGTCACAGAAATGCTTCTTTATACTTTACCCACATGACAGGACATACCCTCAAATAAATGAGAGAGGTTATGGCAAAATGCCAGTTCCCTTGAAGCATTGCCTTTCATCTAACCCAGTTTCTACTTTCTTCCCTTGGTTTGTACCAACTTGCTTAAAATAAAAATGGGTTTCTCTTGTATACTGTCAGCTGATATTCTTGTATTTAGTTTTAGTTTCTTTAACTCAGAATTAAATGAGCACTTGTGGAAAGAATCTACTTGCAAGGAGTGGAGAGCAAAATTCCCAGGTCCCTTTCTTCATGATTGTGAGGTGAAAATAGCAATAACTTCCATAGTTTAAACAATAATTTCTTTTTTTTCCTAAAAACAAAGTTTAGAAAGTGCAAACTGCTTGATAATGGTGAGGGCCCATTTAAAGTCCTACATAACTAATCAACAGAAACATGAAACTTTATTGCTGAATATTTTAAAACACACTGCACTTTCAATTAAATTTTTTACTTTCAGTCTTTCTCTTATAAATTTGTAAAAACATATTCTATTCTCAACTAATATATTTTCCAATTAAAATTCTTCAAAATCCCCCCATTATCCTAAAGATAAACTGCACACCCTTTAGTGTGGTATATAAAACCCATATGCTGTTTTCTAATCTCATTTCTTGCCTTTTTCATCCTACCATACACTCCAGCAATATTCAACGTTTCCCAACATGCTTTTCCTCACACCCCCATGTTTTAGTACTTGCTGTTCTCTTGGCCATACTTCTCTTAAACTTTCTTCCACATACATATACAAGCACCATCACCACCTACAATCTGCTTCAAGACTAATTTAGGAATCTCTTCTATAAAACTTTGCTCAGTGTTAACTGAACTGAGAAGAAAATCAACGATCAGACATATCAATGAAAGTGAAAGCTGTGCAATATAAGCATACATTTTATTTTCACTACTATTTATTGAATATCCATATGCCCTAGGCACTGTACTAGTTACTGTGGTATTAACATGAATAAAGAGAGTCCGCTCCTTCTAGGACATGGTTATCCTTGATGAAAAAAAAATCATTTTTAAGTTCATATTTACAATACATTTAATAACTGTTATGTTGGCAGTGTAAACGAAAAAAAAAAAAAAAAAAAAACCTAAAATGAAACTCTTCCTTTCCTCACTTTCAACAGATAACAGGGTAGATATCCAATCCCATATGAAGAATTTATTAAAGGGATGAATGTAAGTGTCCTCCCAGCTCTTTTGGTCTCCTTATCAAAACCAGTGATACAAAAAGGATATAAAGGAATTCACAAAGAGGTGAAATGAAACTTGTTTGTATCTCTTGGATCTCATTAAACTCAAAGACAAAGTAGTCTGAGAGTTTGTTTTTAAAAGAAAAAAAAAATGATGGAGACATTTCTCCTAAGAGAGTCAAGCCAGGCTGTTTAAGTCTCAGCCTCCTCACCCCAGATACCTGTGGTGCTACCTTCTAATACAGATCATAGTGAAGAGGACTTCAAAAGAACCACTTGCAGAACTTTGAAGTGGATTTTCTGCAATTAGACACATAAAACTTATACTGGACCCAGTCGAAGTTTACTGTGGTCAGGGGTTACCCTCCCACTTGAAAAGAATTTAGAAGTCAAGGGAAAAGCTGATTTTCTGCTTTGGAAGCAGAACAAGGAGCGTGATTATGGAAGTGTCTGTACTCCTCGAGTTTGTCAGGAAAAGAAATACGTGAGAATTTCCACACACTATGGGTGGTAATGGGGGAGTAATGCATAACGAGAGCTCTAAGTCCTGCCCAATAAGGTGACCCAGAAGCATTGAAGAGACCCCAGCAGAATGAATCTGAAGGTGTACTACCAGGTGTCCAGTGCCGAGAAAGGAGCTCCATTCTGCACATGGTGCATCTACTAGTATGAACTGAACTGCAGGAAAGAGAGCCCACCAGGGAATTCATGAAAATCCCAAAAAGTTACACAATGAGATGGTTAGCTTCAATTAACTGAACACCACATAGGGTTGCCAAATTTAACTAGCAGCCCAAAGAGCGTAATAATATTCAAGCAAGTAAGAACTGGCTTTTCCTCCTCCACTCCTCTCTATGTACCACCCTGGACTGTCAACTTTGACAGTGAGTTAACTATTAAGGAAAAGAAGAGACAAACAGGTTGAAATGATAAAGAAAACTACAAATAAAGCTCCAGGTTTTCAATTTGAAGTCAGATTGAGATGGGAGAAGAATATTTAACACAGAACAGTTTCTGTTCTTTGATTATTATGAAGGACAAGATAATTTCTGAATCAAAACTATGTTCGTTCTATGAAGTAACTTTAAATCTGTTATTTTGATCAAAATGTAAAAAGCCATGGAATCTGCTAGAATTTTCATTGGGAGCCAGAGAAACTCAC